CCTCTGGCCCCTTCGCCCGCCCTCCTCCACCTACTCCTTCTCCTCCTCCTCCTGCTCCCTCCTCCTCCTCCTCCTCCAGCTCCTTCTCCTCCTCCTCTCCTCCTCCTCCTCCTCCTCCTCCTCTCCCTCCCTCCCTCCCGCCCTCCTCCTCCTCCTCCTCCTCCTCCTCCTCCTCCTCCTCTTCCTCCTCCTCCTCCTCCTCCTCGCCCTCCTCCTCCTCCTCCTCCTCCGCATCTTTATCCACCCAATCCTCCTCCGCCTCCGTCCTCCCTCATCTATCCTCATCCCCATTCGAACGATAACGGCTGCACTCCCCTTTGCTCCTACATTTCCTTGCTATCGTCGACTCGCCTCGGCATCGTTTCTGGGTGGCCTGGTGGGAATATGCGAAGCGTCAAGAATTCGTTTACACAATTCCGCCAGCCACACAAATGCCACTATGCGTACGTACGGCGGTTGTTCAAGATGAGCACAACAGAATTGGCCGTGACCCCGGATCCAACGACCCAGCTCTATTTCAAACCTAAACTCACGCGGCCAATTCTGCTCGGTTCCGAAACGGAACGCACCTGCGGTAAAGTACCTCGGACGCGGCGCTTGACCAAGGACTTGCGCGCGACGCCCTCGACGGCTCGAATTGCCCCCCCAGAGAAGGACACACCATCCACCCTAATGATAAGCTTGTGGCCCGTGCTTGCGCGATTTTGAGAAATGCCTGCATTGTCCCTAAGTCTGCTGCGATCCGTGCGGAGGCCGAGCACCGCTTGTCCAATCAGCCTCTCGGCAGGGGTCTTCTTCGCCGACGCTGCGTCGAGGGTGACGTCAGGACCAGCTCGCCCGCCTGCGGTTGCCTCGACGAGCACGCCGCGTCAAGGGGCGCAACCCCAGCATCATGACAGCGCCCCCCTGCCCGCGTGGCGCCTGCTCCTGCTGCAGAGACGGAGGCTCGATTGCTCGACGGACCCCCGAAAATTGATCCGCCCGGCCCACGGGGCGCCCGGGCGCTGATCGCTCAGCCCCCTGCCGAGGCGAGGGTCGGCTCCGCGCTGTTGCCGCCTCCTGGCGCGCACGACCCCGCGGCGTCTGCCCCGCATCGCGTACAGCGCGCTCTCGAGGGGTGCGACCTGGCAGGCCGCTTCCCGCGCGCGATGACAACCCGTGAGGTTCTCGCCGGCTGGATCCTTCACCGACCACGGTGTCCCGGTGGATACTGGGCATGCGACCGGAAGGCATCTCATGGAAAGGGACACGAGGAGACTCATGTCTCGGATGTGAATGCAACACTGTCTGGTCAGCCGTACCGAGATAGGGGAAACTGGGATACGTACGGGGTCCAGCACAACGGGGGGGCTTGGGCTGGGGTAGTAGACGACGGGCAAGGAGATGCATGCCTCGCACGTTTTATGCAGGAGAGCCGAATCGAATCGATAAGTCGGATCGGCGATCGAAATGAGTTGGATCGGCGGAAATCGGCAGCCGAGTCGGGAGAAGTCGAATCGGCGGAAATCGGCAGGCTAGTAGGCCTCCATTGGGAAATCGGAGCCCACATCGGAATCCGAAATCGAATCGAATCGGAATCGGAAGCCATCGAAGTCGAATCGAATCGAATCAGAGGAATCGAAACGAGTCCTGTTGGGGTAGTAGAGGACAGGCAAGGAGGTCCATGCCTCACACATTTTACGGCACCAGGCATCCTTGCATTCTTGTGGGGCTTGTGGCTTCTTGGCGAAGGCTCGCCCCCATATCGCGTGCGGGAACCCTGCTCGGTGGCCACAGGAGGGCCCCCTCTGCCACTCCTCGGTTCCAGCTGGAGGTTCTCCAGAGGCTGTGTTAAGTCCTCCCCCCCCTGTAAGACCCTTACTATCTGGGCTGATGCTGAAAATTGTTCGGACCTAGCGGGTAGGCCCTGCTATCGTGGCTTCTGGAGCTTTGGAGTCAGCAGCGCGCTGGACAAAAACACTGCTCATGCTCTTCTTGCTTCTCCTCCTCCTCATCGTCATTCTCTTGCTCATCCTCCACCTCCTCCTCCACCTCCCCCGCCTCTTTTTTGCAAGCTCTGAGCTGCAACCCGAAGCCGGTCGATGATGGAATTCATATTACTTTCAAGAAACACCGGCGTAACACCTGACGGGGGGGAGGTCCCATTGGCAACTCCTCCCCCCCTCCTCACGCTTCACCTCCTCCCTGTCCTCCTCCTCTTCCTCCTCCTCCTCCACCTCCTCCTTCTACTCCTCCTCCTCCTCCTCCTCCTCCTCCTCCTCCTCCTCCTCCTCCTCCTCCCCCGCCTCATTCTCCTCCTTCCTCTACTCCTCACCTCCTACCCTTCTTGCTCTTCTCCTCTTGCGACCCCATCATCCTTCATCACCGTCGTCGTCGTCGTCGTCGTCGTCGTCGTCGTCGTCGTCGTCGTCGTCGTCGTCGTCGTCGTCCCCCTCCTCCTCCTCCTCCTCCTCCTCCTCGATTTGAAGCCCTGGTTCCTGCGAGGATGTGGACTCGGTGCCGACATTTGCCGGGCGGGAAGCTTCCTGCCTCAGCCGCGGACGGATCAGCTGCCCGAGCGCCCGCGGGATGGGCCATCAGGCCCCTCTCGGCGATGCATGAGCAGTTGGGGGTCGACTTGTGCCCCCCGGGACCTGATCCTCCCCACTTGCCCCCTGGCTTCCGGGTCATCTGAAGCGGCCCCAGGACACACAAATCAATACACACAAATAAAAGGATTCCCCATATTGTCCCATATTTTCTGGGTTTCTGTCTTCCCCCCCACTTCCCATATTTTCCCATGTGTTCTGGGGAATCGAGGACTCATTGTGTCTGTGTGTTTTTTCCTCTCCTGGTCCTCGCTCGGCTCTTCAGCCGCCGTTCGGGGCGATCTGGGCCCAACCCTCCCCCCCTGGGAACGCCCTCGGCGAGCCGCGGCCGCTGGCGAGACGCCCCGCGGCCGGGGTCAACCGCCGATCACCCACGCAGGCGCCCCGAAAACCTCGAGCCTCGCACGCCAGGAAACCTCGAGCACTCCCCCCCCGAGCCTATTGAAGCTTTGATATGCAGTGCTTAAGTGCCACGTCGTGCTATGCCATGCTACGCTTTGATCTTCAACGACTGTGCGAGTAGAGAGGGGATCTACGCCATGGTAAGGGATGGGAGGGAGGGGTAGGATGTCAGATATGACGCGAGCACACCTAGCTTGGCCTGCCCCCCTCCCCCCATCGCTGCCCCTGATCTCAGAGGCCTGCCAGAAAGGGGCCCGCGTCGAGTCGGAGCATCGCGCCGCATCGCCGATGCATCGGCGACGTCGGCGATGCATCGGCGACGCCGACGGGGAGAACATCGGGTTCCACATCGAGCCGCATCGACGATGCATCGGCGATGCTTCGGCGATGCAGCGCGATCCGCCGACCCCATCTGCTCGGACCCTAACCCAGAAAGGTCTTTCGAAACGCCCCCCGATATGGGGGTAATTAATTATTCATTCGGCGGCCTTGTGAAGGGACTGGGGTCCCACCAATGGGGGGTAACTGATTGTTTTGTTCCGCGGCACCCGCCGCGTAACAACGACGTCGACAGCTACGACTACGATTGCGACTATGCCTACGACTACGAGGAGCAGGAGAAGGAGGAGGAAGAGGAGGAGGTTTTAGGACCAGTCCTGTTCACCGCCGGAAGAATCGGGGGGGGATCCACAACTGAAGACCTGCAGCGGTGATCTGGGAGGCCTGGGCAACCGCTGCCGTGATCCGCAGACCTAGAGGCCGGCCGAGCCCGCCGCAGCCACAGCTTCGCCACCGCCCTCGGCGCACTGCCACGCGCCCGCGCCTCTAGGCGGCACGCAAGGAGCGACCCCCCGGGTGAGGATGGCCTTTGGTGCGCGGCCTTTTGGGGGCCGCGGGGGAACCAAGCACAAGCGCGCAAGACGCTACTACAGTCGGGCCTGGGCCAGAAGAACATCCTCCAAGAACATGAGACCCTCCGCCGACCAAAACAAAATGAACATTCAAGGCTACCCTCGCCAGGATGCACAAGAACAACCAACAAGAACATTAGGGTACTCTGGATTCCATATTCAAGTGGGGGGGGTCACATTTGGGGGGTCTGATTTGAGCTGTCTTGGAGGGTTCGGGGGGATCTGGACAAAGGGCCGCCCTTTCAGGATGGTCTGGGGGGGTCTAACGCTTCTCGTCTGGGAGGGGTTGTGACCCCCTCCCTTTTATTACGAAATTTGGAGTGCCCTCCCCGAGCCGACCTCGATCTCATACCTCGGTCCGACTATTTCGCATCGCGTTCAGCGATCGGGGGACCTCGGAGTGCACGGTTTCCTCCAGGGCCGTAGGCGACCCGAGGAGGAGGAGGAGGAGACGGAGGAGGGGGAGGGGGAGGAGGAGATGAAGGAGGAGGAGGAGGAGGAGGAGGAGGAGGAGGAGGAGCAGGAGGAGCAGGAGAAGCAGGAGGAGGGAGGAGGAGGAGGACGAGGAGGAGGAGCAGGAGGAGGAGGAGGACGGGCCGCCTAAGCCCTTCGGAGGAACCCTCCACCTCGGAGGGCCCGCACTCGAGGTCACTCTCGCGAATGGCCGCTCTTGCGCGTAGCCGGCTGGAGCCCTCTCCTGCCAATCCCGGGGCCCGCGGCAGGCCCCGGGAAGCCACCGGCGGCGACCGTCCCGAGGCCCGTGGAGGGCCCCGAGGGCCCGAAAGCGGCGACAAAAACTCGAGACCCGTTTCCCTGAGGCCCCGCTCTCCGCACCGAGGGGGCCCTGGGACATACAAATAGATAGACACAAATAAAAGGATTCCCCATATTTTCCTATTTATATATTTATATATATATATATATATATATATATATTCGGGTTTTTGTCTTCCCCCCCACTTCCCATGTTTTCGTATATTTTCCGGGGAAACAACGATTCATTGTGTCTGTGTGTGTTTCTCCCTCCTGACCCGCGGCGGCCTATCCTCTCCGTACCCGTTTCGATCCTCCCGGTCCCAGGGGCCGGCTGCCCAGCCAGGAGCCGTCCTCTCGTTTGGCGGCCTCCTGGGGGGCCACAGCCGGCGAGAAGCCTCGGGGCCCGCTCCTCTCGGGACCCCCCTGCCCTCCATGGCGAGGGGAGGAACTCTCGGTCGGCCTTCTGGAAAGCCCTCGTGCACCACAGGAGGAGGAGGAGGAGGAGGAGGAGGAGGAGGAGGAGGAGGAGGAGGAGGAGGAGGAGGAAATCTCGGTCGACCTTCTGGAAAGCCCTCGTGCACCACAATTGGCCCGCACCAAAGTAGAGGCCCTCTATGGGGTCGGAGGGTCACGCCGCATCGGCGATGCATCTCCGATACAGCGGCGATGTATCGGCGACGTCGGCGGAACTTCGGCGACGCCAGCGCGTAGAAAATCGGGCTGAACATCGAGCCGCATCGGCGATGCATCGGCGATGCATTGCGATCTTCCGACCCTATCTACTCGGACCCCATCCAGGAGGCCTAGACAAAGGCTATTCCTGCGAAGGGTCACCCTTGAGCACCAGAAAGAACCGATACCGCTACTCACCGGACCTCTCCCGGGGTGCGTTCTGACCCGAATTTCGAAGGGAATCCCGCGGTGGCGACGAGGGCCTCCCAGGAGACCCCAAAAAGGGAAAACGAGGGAAGTGTGCAGCGGTATGGGTACCCTTTCCTCCTCGGAACTCTTGCGCGCAGCCGATCGAAGGCAGGAAACCCACCCCCAGAATGATCACCCCGACACGGGAAGCCTTTTAGCAAACGCACCCACAGAGGACATCGGGCAGGGTAGGGCTGTCTAGTAAACGCACAGAGCCGTTTAGTAAACGCTAATTGTCGGGTCCGGGTGGTTTTTCCTCCCTTGAATTAGGTCGGGCATGTCCCCCCTACAGGCGGATTTGGACGAAAAATAAAACATATACCCGAAAAAAACAGAACTACTCAAAACATAATACGAAAATCGTCCCCTGACTACTCTTTAACTATTTTGAATATCGGGTCGGGCGAAAGGGGGGGATAGCAAAGGGGGGGTTTGAGAATCAGCTCACGTAGCTGATTTTCCCGGCGCCTCCCGGCGCCGGGAGCGGCCATGTATCGAGGAATCGGCCCTTCGGTGAGGCCGAAACCAGCTGCATGCAGCAAATTTCGTACCCCCCCCTTTCCCAATCCCCCCCTTTCGCCCGACCCGACCCCTACAGGCGGATTTGAACGAAAAATAAAACATATCCCCGAACAAATCAGAACTATTCAAAAAATAATATGCAAATCGTCCCCAGACTACTTTTGAAGTATTTTGATAGAGAAAAGAGAACTATGCACATGCACCGATTCTGGCCAGGCCCATCCTGAGCCCAGGATCGGTGCATACGCCCTCCTACCTTGGCCAGGAAGGCATATGCACCGATCCTGGGGCCAAGGATGGGCCTGGCCAGGACCGGTGCATGTGCATAGTTCTCTTCGCCCGATTTCGAAAATTCCTCCTGCAGGGGGGACGCGCCCGATTTAACTCTCGAGCCGAGCCTCGCTGGCGGCCACGTCGGCGCGCTGGTGCGCGTCGCGGGTGGCCCGGCACCGCTCCGCGTGCTCCCGCGCCTCTTGGGGGGGGGGGGGAGGGCGCCCGCCAGGACGGCCGGGCCCCTCCCTCCGCCTCCGCCTCCGCCTCCGCCTCCGCCTCCTCCTCCTCCTCCTCCTCCTCCTCCTCCTCCTCCTCCTCATCCCTCCTCTTCCTCCCCCTCCTCCTCCTCCTCCTCCCCCCTCCCCCTCCTCCTCCTCCTCACTTTCCTGCTCCTCCTCCTCCTCCTCTTCCTCCTCCCCCTGCTCCTCCTCCTCCTCCTCTTCCTCCTCGTCCTCCTTCCACGGCGTCACGCCTGCACGCACCTGGTATCAGGTTGGGCATGTCCTCCTGCAGGCGGATCTTGCAGGACAAATTTCTAGAAGTAAAAATCATCGAACACAGTCAAAAAATAATCAACAAATCTTTCCCGAACTATGCTCTTACATTATTTTTGAATACTCCTCCTGTAGAGGGACAGGCCCGACATGATGGTGCTGGGGGGGACCCAGATGGGGGGTGAAGAAAAGAGCCCCAACAGGGCCCTTCAGGGCCAATTCTGGGCTCCAAGAGAGAGGCCCTAAAAGGCTCCTCCAGAACCCGTTTTCCCCACCCCCAGTGCGGTCACCCCTCCAAAGGGGCCCTACAAGGCCCCTCTAGAGCCCTGTTCTGCACCCCCCATTGAGATCACTCCTCCAAAGGGGCCCTAGAAGGCCCTCTAGAGCTCTGTTCTGCACCTCCCATTGAGGTCACCCCTCCAAAAGGGGCACAAGAAGGCCCCTCCAGAGCCCTGTTCTGCACCCCCCATTGAAGTCACCCCTCCAAAAAGGGGCCCTAGAAGGCCCCTCTAGAGCCCCTTTTCTCCACCCCCTATTGAGGTCACCCCCCGAAAGGGGCCCTACAAGGCCCCTCTAGAGCCCTTTGCTCCACCCCTCATTGAGGTCCCCCCCTCATCACGGTGCCCGGACAAAAGTGTCCACACCCATGGCGGTGAGGCGATGCCACATGATAGCAACCGCAAGTGCGAAATGCCCTTGCTTCGCAGCCCCCCAAAACCCAAAGCTGCAATGTCTATATTGTGTCCCTGGCCATTGGCCTGCCGCCCAAACCCGTCCACCTTGAATCTGGGGGAAGGGGGTATACATGTTGGTCCAACGTGCTTTGATCAATATAGGGAAAGTCGCCAACAGTTGATGTTTATGGTTTTTCTTCATCTAGGGGTATACATCTTGGTCCGACGTGCTTTGATAAAAATCAAGGCCTCGACGAGACACGTGTGGACACTTTGGGTCCACGGTACAGTGAAGGCTAGTACACAAGAAACCTTCCACAAAAAACCAGACCCTGAGACCCCAGGACGTCCATATTGTCTTTCAGTGTGGAACGTCGCGCTCTCCATCGCCAAACCTTCGAAACCCAAGAAAACCAAGGAACCCTGCAGGCAAGCAGGGTGTTTCTTGGCATGGGCCTCCACTGTAAATCGTAGGGGCGAGGCGATGGAGGAGGAGGAAGAGGAGGAGGAGGAGCAAGAGGAGAAATGGGAGGGGGAAGAGGAGGAGGAGGAGTAGGAGGAGAAATGGGAGGGGGAGGAGGAGGAGGAGGAGAAATGGGAGTGGGAAGAGGAGGAGGAGGAGGAGGAGGAGGAGGAGGAGGAGGAGCAGGATCCTGCAAGATCGGGCGCTCTGGCTGACCCCCGTTTGCATTGACCCCTGTCTCTTGAGCCCCGACTCTCGCGTCGCAGCACGGCACCGGCGTCTGCTGGGTTGGCCCACAAGGGGGTCCAGCTGAGAGGGGGTGCTGCAGCGCAGGACGGTGGCGTCGGCGTCTGTCTGGTTGGCCCACAAGGGGGTCCAGCTGAGAAGGGGGGGTGCAATGGGTTTGGGGCAAGTGTCTTGCAAATGTATGGCGACGGAGAGATGTATAAATTTGCGCGCGTTGGAATGTCCTGCACGCCCCGAATCTTTTGCAACCCCACAAATATATTGCGCCAAATCTATTGCACCCCCCCTTTCAGCTGGAGCCCCTTTTGGATCACGCAGGGTCTGCTTCTGAGACCGCACCGCTCGAGCCTGAGCGGTCGCGGCAGCGCAGATCATTCGATCTCGGTCGATCCCAGGCCACTCGTCAACCTGGAACGCTCGCGCTGGGGTCGCCGCTTCCCAAGCCACTGGTCAACCTGGAAAGCTCGCATCATTCGATCTCGGTCGATCCCAGGCCAAGGGTCAAACTGGAACGCTCGCGCTGGGGTCGCCGCGTCCCAAGCCACTGGTCAACCTGGAACGCTCGCGTGGGCTTCGTCGCTGCGTCAATGCGGCGCGAGCCTGCCGAACGTCCCCTGACGTCCGGGCGTCGTGAACAAAAACACAAAACTCATTTTTTCTTCATTTTCAATCTCCGGGGCCCTCGGCGTTCGATCTGGCTCGACAGAGTGCTGCAGAAAGAGCTCGACAGGCTCGAGTCTGGAGCTCTCGTTGTCATGTTCCACCGCGCAATGTTTTTCGCAACATCGGGTCTCGAGGCCCGCGTATCTCGCAAACATCGCTGTTGTGTCAACTTGTCTGCAAAAACGACTGCTTGGGCGAGAACGAACAGGCAAGCGCCCCCCAAAGGTTTCGCGACGCTCCTACGGCGACACCTGCTTCAGCTCGACAGAACTGCGAGGGCCCAAACAATTTCGGCACGCCGTGCAGCATTGAAGAGGTAAGACTTACGCGAATACTAGGTGCTACCTAAGACGAAACTGCACCAGAGGCAGCCACCAGGGTGTATGGAGGTAGTAGTGTCGCTATGATCTGTGGGCACGCCACTGCGACGCATCTTAGGTACGGAGCAAGTGTGCTGTGGTGATGGTGGTGCGGTGCGGTGCGCCCAGGTTGGTGGGGGATTGGGGCGGGCAACGGGCGTGCGGTCTTTTTGGGGGAAGAGGAGGGGAACGAGGGAGAGGGGGCTAGAGAGGCGGCGGGACGACCTAGCAAGAAACATACACAGTGCGCTGTCACTGAAGTCTGGGGCATCCATCAGAGATTCAGTGTGGCGCCTGTGGCGTTTGCACTTGCTTGGGCGGCAGAGCCGCTGTGATGTGGCTGCGGGATTGACACGTCGTGGCTAAGATTCCGCTTAGACATTGAAGCGCTTTGAATATTGGATGCGGGCAGGCAGTCATGCCGCAGCAGCGATGTAGACATGAATTACAGGTTCGGCAATAGCTGCGCAAACAACTGGAGCCCAATCGATGCATTCTGGAAACGCTGCTCTGATGTCGCTCTGGGCCAGAATGGGGCTGGATGTTCTGCAGGCAACAATCGGATGCCCACTGGGAACCGCGATTGATGTGGCGTGGGCTCGGGCGTACGCAAAAGCATAGAGCTCGGACGGAAAGAATGAGAGGGCAGAGGCTGCCTCCGAGTCGGCCATCTTGACCAGCTGCTCAAACTGGGCCAGGTGGACAGGGTGGCTGGGTCGAATGGTATTGTCATAGAACGCCACAGCCTTGAAGCATCTGCAGCCCTCTGCTATCTTGCGTTCCCAAAGACAACCCATCTCAAGCGCACCCATACAGGCTTGTAAATAGTTCCTCGTCGAGAACAACTTGCCCGCCTTCACCGAACGGAAACGCCCTCGGATCTGAGTCTCTGCTTCAGGGGCCCACATGCAAATCGCGTACAATTCGTAGTCGGCCCTCTCCAACTCGGAGATCATTGCCGATACGCGCTTTGTATTCGTGGACGCGTCCGGCAGCTTCAAGTTCTGACGCTTCTGAATGGCGGCCCTGAACACGTCCTTCTTCGCCTCCTGCACGATCTTTGTCTCCTTGAAGATCTCCCACGCGTCCGCGTGCACCACGTTGCTCCGGAAGCCGTGCTCGGCGACCTTCAGAGCCCTCCCTCCGCCCTCCTTTGGGGTGCGCTCGGGCCAGAACTTCGAGGCAGATCTGGCCGCGGCGACGAGGGACAGGAAACGCCAACAGATCAACAAAACGTGTGCGGGTTGAGGCGGGCTGGCAAGAGAAAAACGGGTCCTGAGAGGAACGGGTCCTGGACCCCAGGGCCTTCCCCCAGGACCAGCGTGTCGCCCAGAGTCCTCTTCTAACAGCCCCGAACGGGCTCCAGGGGCCCGTGGAGGGCCCCGAGAGCCCGAAAACGGTGAAAAAACTCAAGACCCGTTTCCCTGAGGACCCGCTCCCCCCACTGAAGGGGCCCTGGGACACACAAAGGAATAAACACGAATAAAAGGGTTCCCCATATTTTCCATTATTTTCGGGGCTTTTGTCTTCCCCCCCACTTCCCATCTTTTCGCTTATTTTCCCGGGAATCGACGATTAATTGTGCCTGTTTTTTTTGTTGTTCCCCCAACCCTCCTGCGTGCGTTGGGTTCTCGTTTTGAATAGAGCACTGCTCGCGCGAACCTTCCTTCCCGCCTTCCGTCCCTCTCTTCCCCCCTGCCTTTCGCCTCGCTCGTCGCTGCGTGCCAGCTGGGGGGCTGCGATCTGTGAAGTTGTCGCCACTTTCGAGGGCTGCTGGGGGGCCCAGCACAGTGGGTACCCACGGCGGATTCAAATGGCACCTCGCCATCCCTGGGGGGCTGCGATCTGTGAAGCTGTCGCCACGTTCGAGGGCTGCTGGGGGGCCCAGCAGAGTGGGTACCCACGGCGGATTCAAATGGGACCTCGCCATCCCTGGGGGGCTGCGATCTGTGAAACTGTCGCCACTTTCGAAGGCTGCTGGGGGGCCCAGCACAGTGGGCACCCACGGCGGATTCAAATGGGACCTCGCCATCCCTGGGGGGCTGCGATCTGTGAAACTGTCGCCACTTTCGAGGGCTGCTGGGGGGCCCAGCACAGTGGGGTACCCACGGCGGATTCAAATGGGACCTCGCCATCCCTAGGGGGCTGCGATCTGTGAAACTGTCGCCACTTTCGAGGGTTGCTGGGGGGCCCAGCATAGTGGGTACCCACGGCGGATTCAAATGGGACCTCGCCATCCCTGGGGGGCTGCGATCTGTGAAACTGTCGCCAGTTTCGAGGGCTGCTGGGGGCCCAGCGCAGTGGGCACCCACGGCGGATTCAAATGGGACCTCGCCATCCCTGGGGGGCTGCGATCTGTGAAGCTCTCGCCACTTTCGAGGGCTGCCGGGGGGCCCAGCACAGTGGATACCCACGGCGGATTCAAATGGGACCTCGCCATCCCTGGGGGGGCTGCGATCTGTGAAACTGTCGCCACTTTCGAGGGCTGCTGGGGGGCCCAGCGCAGTGGGCACCCACGGCGGATTCAAATGGGACCTCGCCATCCCTGGGGGGCTGCGCGATCTGTGAAACTGTCGCCACTTTCGAGGGCTGCTGGGGGGCCCAGCACAGTGGGTACCACGGCGGATTCAAATGGGACCTCGCCATCCCTGGGGGGCTGCGATATGTGAAACTGTCGCCACTTTCGAGGGCTGCTGGGGGGCCCAGCACAGTGGGCACTCACGGCGGATTCAAATCCCACCAGCCCTTTGGGCGTGAGTGGTTTAGGGAGCTCTCTCTCTGTCCTCACCCCCCCTTCTTCCCCTTCGGGGAGGGGTTTACCCCTCCCCCTCCCCCCTCCCCCTGGGCCTGGAGAGGGCGCCTCGCGGGTCGTCAGAGGGGTAAATGTCGACTCCTGGGGGGGCTAAAAAACGACACCCCTCACGAGGATTCTGGCCCCGACGGGGGGAGGGAGAAACAACCCTCTCCTCTTCTGTGAAGCCAAAATCATTGATTGCACTACGGTTTAAGCCCCATTTTGGCCTCCTGAGGGGGCCGCGCTCGTCTTCCTTCATAGCAAAATCATTGATGTTACGAAGGTTTTGGGCTCATTTTGTCATTCTCAGGGGGCAGCGCTCATTTGCGCTTCTGAGGAGGTCGCAAGAGGCCCCAAGATGGCCCCAAGAGGCCCCCAGGAGGCTCCCAAGAGGCCTCCAAGAGGCCCCCAAGAGGCCCCCAAGAGGCCCCAAGAGGCCACCAAGAGGTCCCCAAGAGGCCCCCAAGAGGCCCCAAGAGGCCCCAAGAGGCCCCCAAGAGGCCCCCAAGAGGCCCCCAAGAGGCCCCCAAGAGGCCCCAAGAGGCACCAAGAGGCCCCCAAGAGGCCCCACGAGGAGCCCGAACGACTCACACCAGGACGAGGGGCCCGAACGACTCACACCACGAAGAGCCCGAACGACTCACACCACAAGGAGGGGCCCGAACGACTCACACCAGGACGAGGCGCCCGAACGACTCACACCACGAGGAGCCCGAACGACTCACACCACGACGCGGGCCCCGAACGACTCACACCACGAGGAGCCCGAACGAGTCACACCAGGAGGAGGGGCCCGAACGACTCACACCAGGATGAGGGGCCCGAACAACTCACACCACGAGAAGCCCGAACGACTCACACCAGGACGAAGAGCCCGAACGACTCACACCACGAAGAGCCCGAACGACTCACACCAGGAAGAAGGGCCCGAACGACTCACACCAGGACGAGAACCCCAAACGACTCAAATCACGAGGAGCGCTTTCTCTCCCTCCTCCTCCGCCTCGTCCTTCTCCCGCTCCCCCCACAAGGAGGATGAACAAGGAGGCGGGAGGAGGGAGGAACAGGGGAGATATGCGGGGCCACGCGGACACACGCCTGAAAAACACGACTGTCGGCATGCTTCGCAAAAGTTGCTGCTGTGAGATTGGCTGGTGGGGATACGCGAAGCGTAAAGAATTAGACCTCGCCATCCCTGGGGGGCTGCGATCTGTGAAACTGTCGCCACTCTCTTACTCAAATGGGACCTCGCCATCCCTGGGGGGCTGCGATGTGTGAAACTGTCGCCACTTTCGAGGGCTGCTGAGGGGCCCAGCACAGTGGGTACTCACCGCAGACTCGAATAGAACCTCGCCGTCCCTGGGGGGCTGCGATCTGTGAAACTGTCGCCACTTTCGAGGGCTGCTGAGGGGCCCAGCACAGTGGATACTCACCACAGACTCAAATTGGACCTCGCCATCCCTGGGGGGCTGCGATCTGTGAAACTGTCGCCACTTTCCAGGGCTGCAGGGGCCCAGGACCTCGCCATCCCTGGGGGGCTGCGATCTGTGAAACGGTCGCCCCTTTCGAGGGCTGCTGAAGGGCCCAGCACAGTGGGTACTCACCGCAGACCCAAATTAGACCTCGCCATCCTTGGGGGACTGCGATCTGTCAAACTGTCGCCACTTTCGAGGGCTGCTGAGGGGCCCAGCACAGTGGGCTTCCCGCACGTCTTTCTCCTGCTCTCCGTTCCCGACTCCCCATGTCTTCTTCGAGCCTGTAGTTGTCGCCCCTCGTTCTTGTATGGTTCTCCTGCGCATCATGCCATTGGCGCGTGACCCAAGTAGCTGACATATCAAACAACGGATCCTGCAATTTGATGGTCCGTGCAAGTTTCGGCCAACTCCTCGTTTCCCATGATACAAATTGGTTGGGTACGTCACAGGGTAATTTTCCTTTTCGGGACTTCACCACCGGGCTCCTGTCCAAGGTGTACCTTTTCCTGCACATCAACTTCGGCACCGCCTGATCCCAGGGCTTCGCCCTCTCCCGGCCGCGTGAGGCCCCGCCTTCTTCCGCCGTTTCTCTGCTAATTCAAGCTGTGCGAGTCCCGCTTAGCTTTCAGCGGAAGAGGTTCGCTCTCGCCCCGCAGATCAAAAAAGGTTTTTTTCCTGACCCACGGCGACCTGTCCTTTCCGTACCCGCTTCGATCCTCCCGGTCCCGGGGGGGCCCCCTGGGAGGCCACAGACGGCAAAAAAAGCCCTCGGGGCCCGCTCCTCTCAGGACCCCCCCTGTCCTCCATGGCGAGGGGAGGAAATCTCGGTCGGCCTTCTGGAAAGCCCTCGTGCACCACAGGAGGAGGAGGAGGAGGAGGAGGAAATCTCCGCCGACCTTCTGGAAAGCCCTCGTGCACCACAGCTGGCCCGCACCAAAGTGGAGGCCTCTATGGGGCCCTGTCCTCCATGGCGAGAGGAGGAGGAGGAGGAGGAGGAGTAGGAGGAGGAGGAGGAGGAGGAAATCTCCGCCGACCTTCTGGAAAGCCCTCGTGCACCACAGCTGGCCCGCACCAAAGCGGAGGCCTCCATGGGGCCTCTAGGACCCCCTTGTCCTCCATGGCGAGGGGAGGAGGAGGAAAGCTCCGCCGACCTTCTGGAAGCCCTCGTGCACCAGACGCACCTCGTCGCCGTCGACCAGGACCGCGTTGTTGGGCCTCCCGAACAGGTCGATCGAGAGCTCGTCGGCCATGCTCGACTTGCCCACCGCGGGCGGCCCGAAGATCCACAGGGCCTTGGGCCGGTGCGGGATCGGCACCACCTCGGCGGTGACGACAAGAAAGAATAGAGAGGAGGAGGATGAGGATGAGGATGAGGACGAGGAGGAGAATGAGGATGAGGACGAGAACGAGGATGAGGACGAGGACGAGGACGAGGACGAGGACGAGGACGAGGACGAGGACGAGGACGAGGACGATGATGATGACGATGACGACGACGATGATGATGATGATGATGATGATGATGATGCTGATGCTGATGATGATGATGATGATTATGATGACGATGATGCCGCGGCTGATGAATTTTATGATGGTAAGGAGAAGGAGACGGAGGAGAAGGAGGAGGAGGAGGAACATGAGGAAGAGGAGGAGGAGAAGGACAAGTGTAACACACAGGGCGCATCAACGATGCTGCAGTAAACCATTCCTCTAAGCTCCCCTGTGATAGGTTCCTGAAGGATCTGTGTTCATGCGGGAAGTGGCTCATTAGAAGACAACCGTCCGATAATCCTCAATCGTGCCCCCCAAAAACGCTTCTGGGACTTCAATGCCGCGGATCAACGGAACCGTTGCGAAAGAGACTCCTAAACCGTGCTAGCACGCCATTCTGGGGCTCTGCACCCCGAGCCCAAAGTTACTGTTGCGCTCCGACAGTCCTCCACCGAAAGCCCCAGGGGTGTGTACCACGTGCGGCCGCCCCACCCATATGTCGGCACACCCCTCACACGCTTCGTGGCCCCACAGAGAGCTCCACCGAAGGCCCCAGGGGGGCGACACCCCTGACACGCTTCGTGGCCCCCTTAGGGATCTCCACCTACGGCCCCAGTGGCGTGGTCCACATGCGGCCGCCCCAGCCACTTAGGCCCCACCCATCTGGCTCAGGAGGGCCCTTGAAGCACACCAGGAATCTGTGGGGGCTTCGGGTGTGCACCCGAAGACTTAGGGACAGCTCGAGGCTCCGTCGCAGGCCGTCGGAGTTCGGCCGTCATCGTCGTCGTTGTCGTCGTCGTCGTCGTCATCGTCGTCGTCGTCGGCGGCGGCGTCGGCGGCGGGGCGTCGGCGTCGGCGTCGACGGCCCAGTGGCAGCGCCCGCATGGCACCGCCGCAGCCGTTTCGGCACACCCTTCACACGCTTCGTGGCGCCGTAGGGCGCTCCACCGACGGCCCCAGTGGCACCGCCCGCATGGCCCATGGCACCGCCGCGCCCATGTCGGCACACCCCTCCCACGTTTCGTGGCCCCGCAGGGCGCTCCACCGAAGGCCCCAATGGCAGCGCCAGCACGTCAGCGCCGAGCCCGTTTCCGCACACCCCTCACCTGCTTCGTGGCCCCACATGTGCTCCACGGACGGCCTTAATGGCATCGCCCGCATGGCACCGCCGCACTCGTGTGGGCACACCAAACCCCTCACACGCTTCGTGGTGCCATAGGCGCATGGCACCGCCGCACCCGCGTCGGAACCCCCTCGCAGGTTTCGCGGCCCCGCACGGAGCTCCGCCGAAGGCCCCCGTGGCAGCGCCTGCATGGCAACGCCGCGCTCACTCCGGCACACCCCTTGCACGCTTCGTGGCCCCATATGGGAGCTCCACCGAGGACGATAATTACTGACATCCGCGGTGCTCACATCTGATCTGGTCGGGCTCCTCGCCACGGCTTCTCCACGGTTCTTGGACCAGCGTTAGGTCGGGCACGCCCTCCTGGCCAAAACTTCAAACTGGCCAAACATAGTCAAAACACAATCCCCAGATTATTTGTTTGACTCCCCTCTTCTGGCCAAAGAATAATTCTGGAAGACCCCCCTGTAGAGGGACATGCCCGGCTCAAGACTAGCGCGACTGCCCTGCGGGCAAGATTCATGTCCATATCCAGTGCCTCTTGGACTTTTTTGGAAGCGGCGCCACAAGGCCGAGGCGCACTGGATATGGATAAAGATCGAGCCTCTAGGGGGCAAATTTATCCATATCCAGTGCGCCTCGGGTTTCTTGGGAAGGGAGCCCGAAACTCCATCCTGCAGTGGATATGGACAGAAGTATTGCCTGCATGCCCATCCAGAGGAAGGGCGACAAGGTCCCGAGAGGAGCGGTGGGGCGCCCGAGCCGCAGGGTCCCGCGGCTGGCCGGAAACAGAAAGGCAGCTCACGCGCGGGGGCGCGAGGAGGGCGAGGAGGAGGAGGAGGCCCCCCCCCTCCTCGCCCTCCTCCTCGTCCTCGTCGGAGGACGAGGAGGAGGAGGGGTCTCCTCGTCCTCGTCGGAGGGGGGCGAGGGGGAGGAGGGGCCTCGCCCTCGTCGGAGGAGGGCGAGGGGGAGGAGGGGCCTCCTCGTCCTGGTCGGAGGAGGGAGAGGCGATCCCCTCCTCCTCGCCCTCCTCCGCCGGGGGCACCAGGCCTGGCCAGGCGAAGCTCGGCCGGGCCGATCTCGGCCGAGTCTCGGCCTGGCCGGGACTCCTCCTGGCCGGGTTCCGATGCCGCCCCCTGGGGCCCGGGGGCGCCTCCCGCCCTGACCCCCAGGGGGTGCTCCCCGAACCGAACCGAACCGGTCGGACCCAACCGCGCGAAAGCCGGAACCGAACCGAACCGGCGGCAGGCCCAAGCCGAACCGGCCGAAACCGGACCGATGCCAAACCGAACCGGCCAAGCAAAACCGACCCGGCTGCAGAACCGGACCGAACCGAACCGAGCCGATCCCTTCATGGTGCTGGGGGGCAGCCCCCCCCCCCCCCGTCTTGTGGTAAGGGCGAAGGGCGCCGAACGGTCTCACCCTTCCCCTGCGCGCGCGCGCGGCTGGATGGAGGGGCACTTGGGTTGGGCCGGGCACACCCTCCTACAGGCGGGTTTTGGATGACTAATAAGAACATCCAAGCACATACCAACAATCAAAACATACAAGAAAAAATCGTCCCAGCATGATTTTTGGCTCATTTGAATATCTCTCCTGTAGAGGGACACGCCCGACTTCGCACTTGGGGGCAGGGCGCGGAGGCAGCTGATGGGGCCAGCACTCGCGGCGAGGCTCGCGCCTCGAAGTGCGCCAAGGCGGGGCCCCGGAAGCCTCCTGCCGCCCCCCATCACCGCTGCAGTGGAGGCCCGCCCACAAGAGACCTTCCACAAGGAACCCAACCCCTGAGACCCCAGGACGTCCATGGATTCTTGGTGTGGGATCGGCACGCTCTCCATCGCAAAACCATCAAGACCCTAGAAACCCAAGGCACCCTGGAGGCAAGCAGGGTGTTTCTTGGCATGGCCCACCGCTGCACACGCGAGTGCAGCAGGCCTCGGACCTCGACCAGGATCTGGACCACGGCGAGTTGAGGCAACGGCAGCTCCGGATCGGTCTCCGGACCCCTCCACGGGTCCGAACGCAGCCATTTTCTGAGCTGCGCCCAGACGTGGCGACGAGGAAGCCACCCGAAGGCCAACTACCGTTGTCTCAACTCGCACTCCTCTGATCCCCGCCGCCCCCCCACCGCCACCCGCAGGAGCGGCGGGTACCCAAACCTCGACCTGAAGTCAGCTCGCCAGGGTCCTGGTGCAATCGTGCCCCTTTTGTCGACGGGCGAGCCTGGAGGGGAACTGAGACGGGGCGGGCCTTATCAGAAGGCTCGGAAGTCGACGAGCCTCTTGAACAGTTTTCCAAGCCTCCCCCGAAGACACGGAGAGCTTCTCGGGAGGCACGGGGGCTTCTCAGAAGTCCCTCCGCCCTCTGAGAAGGCCCTCTCCTTCTCACCTACCCCCCTCGCTCGCCGCCGATCTTGGACTGCCAGGCAGACGGGGCCATCGGGGCCACTGGAGGCCTCCTAGATGGGGTCGGAGAAGATGGGGTCGGAGAATCGCGCCGCATCACCGATAAATCGGCGATGCATCGTCGACGAAGGCGATGCATCGGCAACGTCGACGCGAAGCAAATCGGGCCCCACATCGAGCCCGCACCGGTGATGCATCGGCGATGTGGCGCGACCCTCCGACCCCCTCTGCCCCGACCCCATCTGGGAGGCCTACAGTCTGGGCGTTGACCTAAGGAACCCCAAATAAGGAACGAAGCCCCTCTTTTTCCATAAGTGAAACTCCGATTCCCGATCGGAGACATGAGGAAAACCTGAGGCAAGCTGTGAAACACTCAAGGAACGCGGAGCCCCTCCCCAACGAAAATCGGGCCGGGCGAAAGGGGGGGATAGCAAAGGGGGGGTTTGAGAATCAGCTCACGTAGCTGGTTTTCCCGGCGCCTCCCGGCGCCGGAGGCGACTGTGTATCGAGGAACGGGCCCCTCGAAGAAGCCGAAACCAGCTGCATGCAGCAAATTTCGTAACCCCCCCTTTCCCAATCCCCCCCTTTCGTCCGGCCCGAGAAAAGGGTTCCTTCTTCAGGGCCCCGACTGTAGAGCCACCGCGGTGCCACCTCGGCGCTGATGGCATCCACCCGGCGCGACAGCTGCTCGCGCTCGTGCGCCGTGAGGGGCCGCCTCAGGAGGTCCTCTCGGGAACCGCGGGGGGCGGCCCCGACCCGGCGCGCCTCCGGCTTCTCCAGGGCTGCGAGAAGAATTAGTAGGGGGAAAACAAACCTACCTCGCTTTTGACCACCCTCGCTTCCAAGAGATACCAAACGATGCCAAATTGCAGCCTGTACTGGTCAGGCCGCTTGACGAGGAGGCGCGTGGTATGGCTTGGTTTTGCCTGGAAGCGAAAGCGGGGTAGGTAATTCACGCTCTGAATTAGGTCGGGCCTACAAAGGGGATTGTGGGCGAACAAAGCAAAAGATCCGAAACGTGCAAAGCATGCTCAAACATGGTCACAACATCGTCCCCGGACTACTTGTGGACCATTTCGGGATATTCCTCCTGTAGAGTTATGTCGGGCGTGTCCTCCTACAGGGGGATTTGCTACAAAAATGCAAAACACCCCAAAAATACCCCCAAAAGGTCAAAACAAAATCAAAAAAAGTCCCCAGACTATTTTTGGATAATTTTTGTGTAATTTTTGGGGTATATTTTATTTTTCGTCGACAATCCCCCTGTAGGCGGACAGGCCCGACTTAACTGTAGAGGGACAGGGCCCGACTCGAGAGAGGAGGCGCGGAGACTGCAACAAGAGCCGTGCACTTTCGAAGGCTCGCGCGGCCCTCCGAGAGCCTCGGCTTGTGCCGCCCCGACTCCCCGAGGTGCCCGGGCGGCCTCACGAGGCACGGAAGGCTCCGCCGGGAGGCTGAAGGGGCCCCAGGACACACAAATACATACACACAAATAAACCGATTCCCCATATTTTCCTAGATTTTCTAGGTCTTTGTCTTCCCCCCCACTTCCCATATTTTCCCATATTTTCATGGGAATCGACGATTAATTGCGTCTGTGTGTTTTTTCCCCTCCTGAGAGGCACCGAGGGCACAAGTTTCCCAGTCGTCAGGTCGGGCCCGTCCCTCTTCGGGCGGATTTTGGACGAAGGCTAAAACAAATAGTCAAACAGTGCCCCCAAATGGCCAAACATGCTAATAAAATCGTTCCCAGGCTGTTCTCGGACCATTCTTTGAAGATTCCTCCTGTAGAGGGAAACGCTCCACTTCACCCAATCATCATGTGGTGTTGGCTCCCCGTTGTGAGAAAGCAACGCCCCGCGCTCCTCACCTCCTCCCGCCCTCTTCACCTTCCTCCCTCCGCCCATCCTTGCATTTGCCCTCCGCATGTCAACCAGTTCCGCACACCCCTCACACGCTTCGTGGCCCCATAGGGAGCTCCACCGAAGGCCCCAGTGGCCATGTCCGCATGCGGCCGCCCAGCTCATTTAGGCACACCCGTCACACGCCTCGTGGCCCCACAAGGAGCTCCACCGAAGGCCCCAGAGGCGGTGCCAACATGCGGCCGCCCCACCCATGCCGGCACACCCCTCGCACGCTTCGTGGCCCCATAGGGAGCTCCATCGAAGTCCCCCGGGGGGTGTACCACATGCGGCCGCCCCGCCCATTTCGGCACACCCCTCACACGCTTCGTGGCCCTAGGGGGAGCTCCACCGACGGCCCCAGGGGCGTGTACCACATGCGGCCGCCCCAGCTTCGTGGCCCCATAGGGAGCTCCACCGAAAGCGATACTCACAACCACGGTACCCGCAACTGCATGTGCCTGGCCCTTCGCAAGCATACGCCGTGCTTCGCGAGAGTCCCCCCCCTGTGGTCACGTCACGACTCGCGCCGGCGCCGCCTGGGAATTCGCCATTCTAGAGCATCCCCAGACGGCGCCAACACGAATTGCGACGTGACCGGTCCCCTTCCGCCCTCCACCCCCCGCGGTCGCGCCCGCGGGCGAAAAACGGCGGGAGGGCGCGCGAGGGAGGAGGAGGAGGAGGAGGAGGAGGAGGAGGAGGAGGAGGAGGAGGAGGGGAGGAGGAGGAGGAGGAGGAGGCGGAGGAGGAGGGAGTTGAAGTTGGAGGAGGAGGAGGAGGAGGAGGAGGAGGAGGAGGAGGAGGAGGAGGAGGAGGAGGAGGAGGGAGGGGACGAGGATCTGCCTCCAGGGCGCTCCGCGGGGCCTCCGGAGACGTGCGGAGCGAGACGCTGGGGGCGCCCCGGGGCCAGGATCGCCTCCCTCGCCATCGCTCGGGCGTCCATCCCCCCCGGATTCGTCGACCGCGTGCGCGCATTTTTCGCCGGATGATCGCAGATGCTCCTCAGTGCCCTCGCCAAGAATCAGGGGGACGTAAGACCTGGGCACAGGGGACTCGGAAATCCCCGACGAGGTCGTCAAAAAAATGACGAGGCCGAGCCTGCATTTTGACGAGGCCTCCCGCTGCAGACATCCCACGAAACTCCTCCTCGTCAAAATCCGAGGCGCGGTCGTCAAAAAACGATGGCGAACCCGAGTCCTGGCAAACCCGGGTCTTACGCTCCCCCGAAAGAAGAAATGCACACGTCCGAGCGATGCCAAGCTCATGGCGGCCTCCAGTCCTGGAGCTCTGGCGGGATCTGGTCGTTCACGACGTGGTACAGGCTGGCGGGCCCGCCGCACGACGACTCGACGGTGATGATGTCGCGGGTTCTGACCCTCTGGAGCTCCCTCAGGGAGTGGGTCCGGAACACCTCCGGCGGGCCGAAAGGGAATAACTGCATCAGGTAATTCGTAGCGCGAGGGCGGCAGGATGGTGATGCTGATGCTGATGATGATGATGATGATGATGATGATGATGATGATGATGATGATGATGATGGTGGTGGTGGTGATGATGGTGGTGATGATGATGGTGATGATAATGATGCTGATGGTGCTGATGGTGGTGATGATGACGATGACGATGTTGATGATGATGATGATGATGATGATGATGATGGTGATGATGATGGTGATGCTGATGGTGATGATGATGATGGTGGTGGTGATGATGATGCTGATGGTGCTGATGGTGATGATGATGACGATGATGATGAGGAATAAGACGAGGAGGAGGAGGAGGAGGAGGAGGAGTGACATAACATGTGAAGGATGAGGAAGACGAGGAGGAGGGGGAGAGATGGGTATGGAGGGAAACTGGGATGCCGACGATGTAACAAAGGATGGGGGTCATAAAGACACGGAAGATGGAAATGACGAGTGGGGGAGAGAGGAGGAGACGAGGCAGGCTGAGGCGATCGAGAGACTGGGACAAACAAGGAGAGGAAGAGGAACCGAGGGACGACGAGCACGAGTGGGAGGGTGGGTGGGGGGGAGGGATCGAGGAGAGAGGGAGGAGATAGAGGGGTAATGAGAGAGATCGAGAGAGAGAGAGAGAAAGAGATAGAGAGAAAAAACAAAAAGCGAGAGAGAGAGAGAGAGAGAGAAACAAACAAAAAACAAAAAAGAGAAGGAGCGACCAAACACGAGTGGGAGAAGAGGACGTGCAGAAAGGGGGAGGGAGGCTTGGGCGCAGGCGGCGCGCCCCGCCTCGGACGAGCTGCTGATGTGCTGCGACACCTCCGCCGAGCTGAGCCCCGCGACGGACGCGGATGGCAGCTCGTGCGGGAGGACGCCGGCGTCGATCAGCCCCACGGACGGGTCCACGAACCCGTGCATCCGGCCCGGCGACCCCGAAAATCAGCGCGGAGGAGGGCGGCGTAGGAGGGGGAGCATGATGAATGGTTGGACTGATGAGAGGGAGAGACAGAGAGAGAACGAGAGAGAGAGAGAGAGAGCGAGAGGGAGAGGGAGAGAGAGAGAGAGAGAGAGAAGTTGAGAGAGAGAGGGGGAGAGGAATAGAAAGCTAGGAGGAGGATGAGGAGGACGAGGAGGAGGAGGAGGAGGAGGAGGAGGAGGAGGAATGAACGAAATGCCCAAAGGGGGGAGCACACAGCACTAGGACATCGAGGGCCGCTGCACGCTGTCAAGCCTGGGGTGGGGGGAGGGGCTGGAAAAGGCGGCCGTCGAGCACGGTCAAAAGCCGCCTCTGCGCTCGAGCGAGGCGGCGCGCAAGCCACACGCAGCCGCCCACGTGACGGCGGCGCCGACGCCTGCACGCGAGCTGCGCAGGCCTCACCACGACGAGGCCTGCCCCCTTTGGCTGGGCCAGGGAGACTGTGCCCACGACGCGTCGGCAACTGGGGCCGCCCAGGGAACCGCAGTCGGGGAGGTCGGAGCCTGACCTCCCCCGTGCCGCGAAGGCGCAAGCACGCGATGCGTCCGCCTCGCTGGGCCTGCAGGGGACGACCTTCGACCCTGCAGGCAGCCAGGCGGACGAGCGCCAAACGGGAAAGCAGTGAACAGGACGGCTCCCCAGGTCGAACCTGCTACCAGCTCAGCAGCCCTACCTGTTCCCGCAGCGCAGCACGCCGCCCGCGCGTCACCTCAGGGGAGGGCGAGACCCCCGAGGCAAAACGACAAGAGCACACCCCGACCACTAACAGGCAGGCTCGAAGTTTATGCCCGCGCACACAGGCTGAGCGATAATAAAGCACCCAGACAACTATGGGGAAACACCAAAGATTCTGAACAGTGCTGGTGCCACCGCGGCGAGGGAAGCAGCGTGCTGGCACAAGCCAGCAACGCACAAGGAAAACAAAAGGCGAAGACCAGCAAGACACCACGAGGTCGGGCGGGGCGGGTCCTGACTTGGGCAACCCCAGAACAGGACCCGACCCCCGACCTCACCATCTGACCAGACAAATATGGAGCAGGCTCCTAAATGCCCCCTGGCCCGGCCTGTCTGCTTGCGGCCGCTGCTTTCTCTCCTCCTTGTCCTCCTCCCCCTCCTCCCCCTCCCTTCGCTTCTGCTCGTTGCTTCCCTCCCTTTCCTTTCCTCCTGCTCCCTGCCTGCTGTCTCCGCCTGGCCCGTCTTCTGCCTGCCCGCCCGCCCCGCCGGCCCTGGCCTCCCGCCTGGGCGTTCGTCGTCGTCTGCCTGCTTCTCCCCTCCTTGTCCTCCTCCCCCTCCTCCCCCTCCCTTCGCTTCTGCTCGTTGCTTCCCTCCCTTTCCTTTCCTCCTGCTCCCTGCCTGCTGTCTCCGCCTGGCCCGTCTTCTGCCTGCCCGCCCGCCCCGCCGGCCCTGGCCTCCCGCCTGGGCGTTCGTCGTCGTCTGCCTGCTTCTCCCCTCCTCGTCCCCTTCCGCCGGGCAGCACAGCCTGCCCGGAACCAGCGTGGCGGCATATAGTCGCCCACAATTAAAAAGGCGAACTATAATCTAGTTTGCCATTCTGCTATTCACTCAGACAGTGCATGCTGGCTCTGACCAGCGACGCCCAAGATCCTCGGCAGCCCCACTGAGCAACGGCCGCCGCAAGGGGAGAATTACCTCCAGCGCCCCACGGCCGCGCAAACAGGGGGGAACGAGGATGAGGAGGAGGAGGAGGAATAGGAGGAGGAGGATGAGGAGGAGGAGGAGGAGGAGGAGGAGAAGGACGAGGAGGCGGAGGAGGAGGAGGCGGAGGAGTCCTGTCCTCTGACGCCACTTTGGCTCAAGCTGTGTCAGATACCGAAACGTACCTCTGTTTTGATGGTCTTGGACTCTGGAGTGGCACAGTCTTTCGTTGCAGCCTGCGCCATGGAAGTGGCCCAGGCCTTGCTGCGAGCAGTGGTGGAGGCGAAAGCACCAAGGCACACGGTGGCATCCACAACACGGGCGCTCTGGGGGCGCCTGGCAAGGATGCCGGCCGCCGAATCTCTGGACATGGTGCGGCCCCACCTCACCAAGAAAGTTGCGGGGCGAATCCAACTTCGGGGCAGACGGCCTACCGCAACACAGGCCTCCATGTGGATCTAGGGGGCGGAGCAGGTGCACTACCCAAGATTCCCGCTGAGGCGAAGAGAAGGCAACGAGGAGGGCGTCGGCTCAGAGGCCCATCGCCCAACATCGAGGTCAATGGCAGCACCTGGGACGGCAATCATTTGGAGGTAAAGCAGGACGGCATGAAGAGGTCCAGCCAAATGCTTTCAGACTTCGGCTCGGCGGAGAAGAGGGACCGGGACACGTTCGAGGATCTCCGAGTCCAGCACAAGAAGTCCGAAGGCTTCGAAATGTACGTCACCAGCTCCTTCGGCGAGTGCCTGTGCGACCAGTCTACACAGACGGAGAAGATGGAGCCAGTTTGGGCCGAAAGGTTGAAGAAGCAAACGGCGGTCCTCCGGGGCATGATGTCAGATCTCAGCACAAACCTTCTCAATTTGAAGATATATTTCAAGTGGCACTACACATGAGAGGAGTCGGCCGGCCTACGTGGGGTCTGACGGCATAAGGCAGGAGGCGGGGAATTACAGCGCAGAGGAAAATGCAATGACAAGATCGAGGCAACGACTGATCCAGGAGTTCACGGCCATACCGTGTGCAACGGCCAGCAAGAGGGCAGCTGAAGCCTTGAGGCAACACTTTATCGTCTGAATGGTTTGCGTACAATCGGCTGAGGCGCTACGGAAATTCGTGAACAGTGTGCAAGAAGAGCCAAATCAGAGGCCCGCCGCAGCAGATTTGAGCTTTAGGATTTTTCTCGCTTCAGAAATCTCGCCATCCTTCCACGTCTTGGCACGGGCAGCATTCGATATGAGCATCCCCAGTGCTTTGTATGAGTGTGCAGTGGTGCCAGTCAGATGTGAACAGCAGGCCAGCGCACAAGCCAGAACCACATGTTCATATCTCGTTTCCTTCTCCAGCATTCCCACTTTCTGCCCCATCATCCGCCTCCCATGTTCAGCCCATTGGGGGTGGCACTCGCAGTGTGCCACGTGTGTTGGGGGAGGGGAGTGTAGCATTGTGTGGTTGAAAAGTGTGCTCTGCTAGGAATGGCCGCAACAAAAGGCCGAAGCAGCAGAACTTTGCGGGCAGGCGCCAAACGTTAAGACAGGGCTCTGGAAGAGGCATTATCCTCTTCATCCTTCCCTCCTCCCTGTCTCCCTCTCTCCAAAGGGGCGGCGGTGGAAGGGATCAAGATTGGAAGGTGAGCTCGGAGGATCCGCTTGCTCCCCCCCTCCGGGCCAGCGAGCCCCCGCCACTGCCGCTGGTGAGAGGAACGCTGGAGCTCGGTGCGCAGAAGCTTTCACAGCGAAGCTCTGTGGTGAGCTGTTCTGCTCCTAAGGGGGTGTCCAGTGATGTTGGGTGGTGGTGTATGATGGATACTGGTGGACTCATCCAAGGTGGGTAACTTCTGGGCACTCCCTCCCTTCCCCTCTTGCTTCGTGATTTGACCGCGACAAAGCAGCAGGAGCTGGGTCGGGCACTGTCTCTGCTCTGTCTTTCTTCCTCGTCTCTTTGTTCTGCCTATTCTCTTCTCTCCTCTCCAGGATCCCTTGAGCTTGCGTCGATTCATGAATCACACGACTCTCCTAGGCTCGGCCGTTCGGCATCCTGGGTTCGCAATATTGTGTGTGTCCTGTCCTCCCAGGGGAGGAAGAGGAGGAGGAGGAGGAGGAGGAGGAGGAGGAGGAGGAGGAGGAGGAGGAGGAGGAGAAGGAGAGAGGAGGAGGAGAGGAGGAGGAGGAGGAGGAGGAGGAGGAGGAGGAGAGGAGGAGGAGGAGGAGGAGGAGGAGGAGGAGGAGGAGGGAGGAGGGAGGAGGAGAGGAGGAGGAGGAGGAGGGGAGGAGGAGGAGGAGGAGGAGGGAGGAGGAGGAGGAGGAGGAGGAGGGAGGAGGGAGGAGGGAGGAGGGAGGAGGAGAGGGAGGAGTGGAGGAGGAGGAGGGAGGAGGGAGGAGGGGGAGGGAGGAGGGGGGAGGGGGAGGGAGAGGAGGGAGGAGGAGGAGGGAGGAGGGGAGGGGGGAGGGCGGGAGGCCGCTGGCGCAGCTCTTGAGCCCACGCGGCCCACGACGGGCGCGGCGCCTGGCCGCGGGCGACCCAGCGCCTTCCACGATTCGCGCGCGCGCGAAGGGCTGGCAACGACTTCCACTCTCCTCCACTTGCCCTGCCCCCCTCGTCATCGTTCTCGTCCTCGTCCTCCTCCTCCTCCTGCTCCTCCTCCTCCTCCTCCTCCTAGCCATCCTCTTCCTCCTCCTCTTCCTCCTCCTCTTCGTCCTCCTCCTCCTCCTCCTCCTCCTCCTCCTCCTCCTCCTCCTCCTCCTCCTAGTCATCCTCCTAGTCATCCTCTTCCGCTCGGTCTCCGGAGCGCCCCCAACGCCCTCGAAGACTGTTTCTCTTCGACGGGGGCCCGCCCGGAGCAGGCCCGCCGTGCTGGACTCCCCGACTCGAGCCGCTCCTTGGGCTGCGTCTCCAGGATCGTCGAGAACATCTCGTCGGCCTCCTTGAGGCGGTAGGTGAGGTCGGCCTGCCCGCCCGCGGACCGAGCCCTCGCGGTTGCGGTCGCCGCGCCCGTGCTCTGGCGGCGAGCGCGGGGGGGAAGTGAGAAGGAGAAGGCCTTCTCAGAGGCCGGCGGGACCTCTCAGAAGCCCTCGCGCCTTCCGAGAAGCTGTCTGCGTTTTCGGGGAATGCTCAGAACGCTTCCCAGAAGGCCGGGGGGCTTCCGAGCCTTCTGAGAAGGCCTTTTCCTTCTCACTCCCCCCCTCGCTCGCAGCCGACTGCTAACGATGAGAGCGGCAATCCAAGTGCGGACGGCGACGAAGACCAGACGGCCAGGAACTGATGCTCAGCGCGTCGCAGCGGCGGCCCCGGCGACACGAGAACTATACCGCTCCGCGGGGCCGGAGACCGGAAGAGAACAGCTCGGGACGCCCCCTCGCTGAGGTCCACCCTGGCATGTTTTTCGCCACGGGTTGAATTCCGACAGCAATTGCCTCTAGAGGGCGACCTTGTGACAAAAACGCTGGCTCGACTTATTTTTCTAAGAACGAGCATTCATTAAACAAACCCGCCTCAACATCAGTCCCAGACCCCAGGACGTGATCTGCGTGTCGCTCCGAGGCGTGGTGGGCCAGGGCCGGCGGAGCGGCACACGCTGCGGTCGGCCCGTATACCGGATGGCTGCGCGGTGAGGGTGCAAGGCCCTATGGGGCGCCCAGCTTGAAGTCTCTCGAACGGGGCGCGGCCAGCGAACGCGGCCGAGGAGGGGTCGAAGGGACGAGGATGCAGAAATATCCCCTCGGGAACAGCCTCGGGAAGATTGCCCATCCTTCTTAGGCGGGTTGGCTGGAAGCCGGAGCCTCCGACCGGAACCCGCCGGCGTGCAACTGCGCGCGTCTCCTGCAAGCCTCCTGCTTCGGCCCCCTGCGCCACTGGACCCGCTGGTCCTCGCTTAGGTGCGGAGGGTGCTCCCGGGGGCCCCGGCCCCGCGTGGCTTCTGCGTGCCCCGATCCGGCTGCGCACGCATCCCCGGCCTCGGGATGCCGCTCAGACTCCAGGGCTGAACGCCTCCTGCTGCCCCATCACGCGCTGAAGCGCCCACTGGACTTGCTCCAGCTTTCTCCCGCGACCTCTGGAACTCTGAACTTCTCTGGCCTTGCGCCGACCTCGAGAGGTGTCTGGCTGCATCCCCGCACATCGACCGGTGCCCAGCCGGTGGCCCCAGCAGGACGGGACCCGCTCCATAGCCTGCAGCTGCTGCAACGCTCCACACATGTTGCTCTGCAGCTGGTTTGCCCTGTCCATGGGAGGGTCAATCTTCTAAACACCCTCCAGTAGGTAACTTGTGACGTTGGCTACTTTGCATCTACTAAGCACTATAAGTTTTTCTGTGTACCGGAAACCTAATAGATGCCAGTCATCAAATTTGCACCAAGTATGTATTTGAAGAGTGGGCGACGCACCAGCTCCTAGAGGGACCACGACGGCGCGCGGCAGCGCCCGAGTGTCCATGGCAGCACCTCGCAGGGCCCCGCGGCCGCTCGGGTGTTCCTTCCCGCGCCTCCCTCTCGAGCAGGGCAGGTACCGTGTCGGGAGGAGGGGGTTGCGAGGACGAAGGGTAAAGTGCGGGCGCGGCCGCAAGAAACCCTCGCAGGAAACCCAACCCTGAGAACCCGGGCGCGAGGTGCACCTGAGGGGCAACTTGGAACACCCTGAACGCAGCAGCTCCTTCAACGGCAGCGGGAAGCCACCGCGCAGCGCGGAGAGCGAAGAAACCCAGGATACCCCGACGAACAGCATGTGGTTTCTGGATGCGCGCCCCCACTGTATGAGCAGCAGCATCCGGAGGCAATGAACGAATGAACGATGCCTTCGGCCGCCTCCGAACAAAGGATGTCCTCATCTCTCCCAGTCTCATCCTCCCGACCCGACAGTCGTCTCGCTTGCCTTTCCCGTCCCCCCCTCGTTCGTCACTGGAGATTCTTGGAAGTCCTCAGAGGTCTTTGGAAGCCTCGGGTGTCCCACTGTAAATTCAAGAGCGGGGGATGAGGAGGAGGAGGAGGAGGAGGAGGAGGAGGAGGAGGAGGAGGAGGAGGAGGAGGAGGGGGAGGAGGACTAATGGACTAATGGGCTGGCGACAACGAACGTCGACACACGTGAATTACTGGCGGAGGTCTTCCAGATTGGCCTCTGTAACAATCTTGGGGGGGCCCTTCACACAAGGGTGAAGGCCTCTCCTGATCCTCGCCAGATTCTGCCTCCCCTTCGGGGTGGGAGCAACACAAGGTTTGCAGAGGTGCCGGGGGTCAGTGGTTGCTGTAAGACCGCACAAACTGCAAAAGACGAGTTTGAATTCCCCCCAATACTGTAAGGCGTGGGACTCGTCTAGGACCTGCCCTCCCAGGACCCGTCGGCCTTTTAAGGCCGCGATTCCAGGGGGAGGGGCACTGTTAGCACACACTGTCGGTGCTGCCGCAAAGAACCTCGAACGGTTCACGAAAACTTTGCAATTACGGCAATAAAACTTCGTGCCGAGCCTTCTCCACTCGTGCTGCGAGCCTCTCATGGCCAGCTCGAGTCTCGGGATCCGAACGGGGCGGGGGGCCGTGGGACGATTTTCGGTCCACGGGTCCGCACGTATGGCCTCCGCAAGGGCCCTACGCGCCCTACGTCTGATCAGGAAGGTCTCGGCATCCACCGCATCGGCGGAGGGTACACTCGTAACAAATTCAGACCATGCAACTGACGCTCCTCGGGAGGCCAGCTCATCTGCACATTCATTACCCACCGCCCACCACAAGTCTCGGTACGAGCGTATGTCTTCCGACTCACGGTGGGATGGGGTCCATTCGATTAGGACGGGGTCAGGGCCACGAGCTCGCACTGCTCGGCCTATTCTGAACCAGAGGTCGGCACTAGTACAACTGAACGACGGGGAGAGATGCCGACCTCTGTTCCAGCCGTCCTGGAGGGGCCTATGATCAGTGACATACCTGAGCGGCCCACAAGTGCATTCGAGGGCCTCCGCGAAGGCCGCAAGCTCGGCCCTCGGGACAGTCTGACGGGTGCCCCCAAGACTACAAACAATCCCCGCCGACGGGGTCCATCCACCAGCTGGGAGAGCTTCGCGGGCACAAACTCCAGAGCCAACTCTCCTGCGGCGGGGGTCTGAGGAGTGCCCCCCTCCAGAGCCATCCCCAAACACCGTGAGGAACCCGTCGGGGTCTCTCGGGATACTCGCGAAATCACCGAATTCGGAGCGGTGGGGAGGGAGGTCGAGGTCGAAGGAGGGGGTCGTGGCCTCGACACTCGGGAGCCCTCGCAGCCAGTACGAGGGCCATGCCTCGTGGCACGCGGTGGCCCGAGGGATGAGGTAATCGGATTTCTCGAAATCGGGGTGGCCCTGATTACAGACGCACACCCAAACACGATGGAAAAGAGAGTCGGCCGCCTGGCCGCAGCGGGGGCAGGCGTCAGGAGCCTCGTAGCCGGCCTCCACGCGCCTCTGCCTGGTCCACTGGCCCGCTGCGACGACCGCCACGTCGAGCGCCCAGAGGTCGTCGTCCCCCCGCTTCTGGAACTGCTGCATCTCGCGCCTTATCATGAGCATGTCGGTGCCGCCCGCAATGTCCGAGGACCCCTGGTGCAGCGCTGCCTGCTTCCAGAGCTTCCTGTCGATGGACCGCTCGAAGTCCAGGAGCAGCTCCACGTAGTCCGCCGCCGCCTCCGCGAAGCTCGGCTGGTTGGGGCTGGGGAACCGCCAGCCCGCGTCCTCGTCCGTGACCCAGAAGTCGTGGTCGACAGGGTCCCATCCTGCGTCGAGGAGGGTCGCCACTGTGGCCGATGTTGGCCCACGCACTCTCCTCCAGCGGTTCTCACCCGCCAGACGGAGCCTCCTGAGCGACTGCTGCCAGGCCTTGGCGATCCTGGCGTGCAGCTCAGGGTGGGGAACCACTGGTCCAGCCAGGCCGCAAGCTGCTCGCGCGGGATGCTCTTGGCTGGATCGCCTCTGCCGTAGAGCATGGCGAGGGTGCTGGTGAGGCATCGCCCTGGCCCGCGCCCTGCTGCCGCCTGCGCCGCCTGCCTCCTCAGCCTGAGGATCTCGTAGTGCGGCAAGCCCTGCACCTGGTGGCCGTAGGTGCCCTGCGCTCGAGCTCCTGTCGCCCAGAGGCCCTTGGTCACTACTTTGAGCCGTGCCATCCTGCGCATCCTCCTGATGGCGTGGGCACGCCTGGCGGCCTTTTGCATTCTCTGTCTGCCTTTGCGTCGTGTGCGCGTGGTCGCGGCGTTGCAGTCCACACCCAGGTCTGTGAAGTTGCCCTCTGCCTTGGCGGGGATGCCGCGCTGCTGGAGGCCCTTTGCAATGGCGATGGCCAGCTTCGTGGAGCTCGCTATCACCGTGGTCTTCGGGGAGACCGTGAGGCCCGCCTCCTTGAGGCACTCGCCCAGCTTGGCGCCGCTGTCGATCAACTGCTTCTCCACGTTGGCCTCGGTGCCTTGGGAGCGCAGGACCGCGTCGTCTACGAACGTCCAGAGGCCTATGTCCGCCTGCTTCGTGAGCTGCGCACGGTGGAGGATGGGCCCCATGAAGGCCTTGGCCAGCCGTACTCCTTCAGGAGAGCCAGCCAGGATGGAGCGCCACGGCTGGATCTCCCTGCTGACCCACTGCCGTTCCTTCAGCAGCCTCGGCGCCAGGTGCATCTGGACCTCGAGGCAGAGCACGATGGGGGGGTATCCTTGCTCCAGCGCATGCTGTACAAGCTTGACCACGCTGATGCTGTCGTAGAACTTGGCCAGGTCTAACAATAGCGTGGCCGTGGTTATTCCCATTTCTCTCGCTGTTTCGTCAAGAGTGGCTCGAAGGATACTGGCCCGTAGGGCCGACGATCCTCGTATTGCTGTGTCCCAGAACTCGCTCAGGTTGACACTCCACTCGCTCGTGATGCTGCCCCTGAGCTTGCTCCATGTCTTCATGGCGAACGGAAGCTGGCCTAGGATCCTGTCGCCCCCTCCCTTTTCTTTGGGCAT